AGAGATTCTTGAAACTAGACTAGAAATAAGAAAGGAATTGACAAGAGTGAAGATGACTTCATTTTTGCTTCTATATATATTATCTACCTAAGATCTATATGGATATGTTCTATAGGACATCCAAAAATGTAATGACTTTACATGACATGTATGTTGACTTGCAAGGTAAGTTTTTTATATGAGTGTCACATAATTATCTTATTCTATAAGCTATCAATACATGTGGCTTATAGGTAGCTTGTTGATCAAGTTTCTAACCTATCAATCAACTACAAACATATGTAAAATCAAAATAGTGTCTAAAAAGCTTCTATGAAGCTTCTCTAGAAGGTATTATGAAATTAACCTAATTTTATTCAATTCTACCTATTCATATTACCTAAATAATAATTATAGTAGATATCTATCCGTGACACTTGGAAATCTTAATATTAGCTAAGAATACAACTTGATAGCTTCTCACCATCAAAAATGGGCATGGTGTATAAAACAAAAGATAAACATTTTTTTGCAACATGCATAAAAGCTTTTATACCTACTAATAAAGGTTTGAATATATTAGACTTATATATTTCTACTTAATTAACAAGATTTTGGATGAAACTATCAAAAAAATTAAAGTTATCAAAAATTCAATCTATCTGAGGATTATATTTTTTTAACTAAGATAATCCTAAAATAACTAGATTTGACAAAGATCTTATTACATTAAATATTATTATGTTATTATAATCTTTAATTGCTATATCTAAAGGAACAGTCTCATGCATAATATCCCTAAAAGATAGCAAACTACCATCGATGACTTTTACATGTATAGGTTTAGTTTTTTTGACTAATAATATCTCTTATTTTTTCACAAATTTTTTGTCTATAAAATAGGCTATGGCTCTTGAATTTAACGAAGCTAAGATTGTGTGATTTTTTGGTCCTAAATAAACTTCTATTGTAATACAAGGAGAAGAATTTAAGGAGAGAATAGAACCTTTATTAGGAATTATAGAAGATTCTAGCTACATGGTCCCTAATGTAGTGAGAAAAATTCATTTTTCAACATATTGTCTTTTTTAGCAACCATGCTTCTTATTTTGTGGTTGTATTGTTTCTTTGGATAATGTTGAGTAGTGTGTCTAGCTTCTCTATAATATAAGCATAATCCCTCTTTATATCATTAAGTCTTTTTTCACTCTTTAAGAAATTTAAAATATATTGTATCAATTTGTATTGGTTTTAGACTTGATAAATAAGTTCTGAAAACTTTAGAATTGCCATCATTATTTAACTTATTCATCTCCAACCAAATCTTTGTTCTTGACATCTTTTAAATAATCAATTGTCGCATGTAATGGCTTGAGTAATAAATTATTCTAAATATTTTATCTTTGACATTATTAGTAATAAATCTTTGATATTATCTTTTAATTCATATTAAAATTGATTGATGAAGGCTTTGTTATTTTAGTCTACGTTACAAGTAAAGTTTTGGAATTTAGCAGCATATATGATAGCTAATTATGATTCTTTTTGTAAAGATAAGAACTTGGTCTTTATTACTCTTTTTCATTTTTTTTTTTTTTTTTAAATATGGCTATAAACACTTTTAGAAATGAATTCAAATCATAAAAGAATTACAAATCTTTTTTTTAATTAAATGTATAAATTAAGAAGTAGTCCTTCTTAATAGAAGTAAATCTAAGAATCCGACTTGAGTAAATCTATTAAGGTATTGAAAGAACTACAACCTTAGATAGAGCTTAACTTATTGCACAAATTTTCAAAATTTTGATCTTATTCTATCAAACTTCTCATGCATACTTATCTATGTCCTCATCATACTTCTAGAAGCAAAACTCTTTAGATTTGATTGTGAAGTTGATCTATTTACTTCTTTCAACTTTATAACTTCTTCCATAGACTTTGAACTTCTTTCATAGGCATAGGCATAATACCTCCATGATTCATGTTGAAAATACGTGAGATTTTTACTCTTAGAGTGTTGAAAAGCTCATAAAGATCTACAATAGTTACAAATCTATTTTCACTTCTACTACGAATAGCATCTATAATCTTTTCTTCCATAAAAAATTGAAACAAATTCAAAAAGTTAAATTAGAAGAAAGTAATTGGCAACCTCTAATATCAAATGAAAATTTCTACAAAGAAGATAATCCACTTCCTTTAAGAAAATGATTAGTGTTAGAAAAGAAGATTTTTTGTTTAAAAGTGGATAGTCTACAACCTTCAAAACGCAACAATAGAAATAGAATAATCCATTTACTTTTAAAACAAGACAGAAATAATAAATTAGTATTCTTGCCAAATTATTAAGGATATGAATCTCAAAAACAAAAATCCTCAATACACTCCTCTATCACTGAAAGGAACTAAAAAATCATTCAAAGTTCATATAATATTGAATTAGAATGGCTATTGCCAAAAACATCAAGACTAAAGAATGAAAAGGTGTTGAAAAAAGTGAAGAAGGCTTTACTCTTGCCTCCATATATACTCTTAACTAGGAGCTACATGGCAATATCTTATAGGACCTCTAAAACATGTTGACTTTGGAAGACACAGATCTTAACTTGCAAGGCAAGTTTTCTATATGTATATTATATGGTTAGCTTGTTCTGCAAGCTATCAATACATGGTTAGCTTATTAACCAAGTTTTTGACCTATTAGTCAACTACAAACATATATAAAGTCAAAGTAGTATTTATAAAGCTTCTAAGAAGCTTCTTTAAAAGATATTTTAAAATTATCTTATTTTATCTATTTTTATCTATTTCTATTTAATCATATAAATATTTACTAGAGTACATATATATATCCATGACACATAGTAATATATATTTTTGAAAATTTTTAGCCAAAGATTTATATAAATACCCAAGATATGGTTGGAACCAAATCCCTTATAAAATTGGTTCATTGACAAATCTTAAGTTGGAAGTGTTGTCTTCGAGTAATCATTGCTCCTACAAATAAACTTCAAATCTTTTGCTTTTTATATGAAAAATGTATTTCTTTAAATCAACTTGACAATTACACAATTCAATCCTCAAAAGTCCTTTATATGCATGCGCTATGCTCCAAAAAGTGACAATATATACAAATTTGACACCTTGACTTTCAATGCCTACATCTCCTTGACAAAAATTCCAAATTATACAAAAATTTTACCAAAACCATACTCAAAATTCTAAACTTAATAACATCAATCTTTGGTATTTAAATGGTATTAAAAAAAAAAGTAATCCTAATTCCTAATAAGGCCTCAGGCAGCCTCCTTAAAGTCCATTGGATATACCTTTTGACCAATAAGAATGGAGATTTTTATCATCCATCTCTATTCATCCAAATGGTTAGCCTAACTACTCTTTTTTACACAAAAATCCTTCTCTAATCCTTTTTCTACTAAGTTTTGTATTATATGTGTCCTAAACACCAAATAAAAGAAACAAAATAAGATTTTAAGAGTCACCAATGTCTAATAAAGATAGTTTTAAATATATAAAACTATTATCAATATAAAATCAATCTCAATAATAGTTCTTTTAAGCTTATTACTTCAAAGTAGAAATCTAATCACATTTTTTAACTAACTAAAATCTAATAATATTGCTCTCATTATATTGTGTAGTAAATTATATATATATATATATATATATATATATATGCATTATTTTCACATGATAGTCAAATCACAACATGACAATGCAAAGCTTTCTATGGTAAATACTTTAACACTATAAGCCTAAAGTTAGAGAGAATGTGACTGAAGACAATGCATTTGCACATTTCTATTATAGAACACATAAAAAAGACTTATTCTATTAAGGCCCTATGAATTAGGAAGTTAAGTTAAGTTTTGATGAAAATAATGATGATTGAAAAATCTAGCTAATTAGAAGCTTAATTTATTTTTCTTTTTTATTTCCTTAATTTATATTTTTTGATGTATTTTTTAATAAAGATTGCAAAGTTTGCAACATAATGGTTGAAAATTTCAACAGATTTTAGCATATTGAAAGTTTAAATCCTAATGGTGTCTATTCCTCAAATTCTATACTTGCTTGATAGCTTGCCTTATGGCATATAAAATTATTTCATTAATAGTTGCCTAATATCAAAAGTTAAATTTATAATTCCTAAACTAATTGTTTTACTTCAAAGATTGTTTTTATTCATTAATACATCCCAAATTTTTAACTCTAGAAAAAATACTATATTCAATTATCGGTTTTTTTAATAATATAAGAAAAATTGATATAGATAATGTTAAATAAGAAAATGTAGATTGGAAGAAGTATTAAATGGTGAAGATAGCAAAAAAAAAAAAAAAAAAAATCCTTACCAATTAACATATTCCAAGTTTTTAATTCAAGAACCAAGACTATCTTCAAGTATTGTTTCTTTTTCTATTGTTATAAGTAAAATTGACATACATATTGCTGAATAAGAAGATTTGGATTAAGGAGGGCACAAAAGATTAAGGATAACAAAGTTAATAATATATATATATATATATATATATATATATATTAAATTCATTATCATCTTTAATTTTTTTACTTTGTTAGAAAAAACAAGTTAATTTTTATTTAAAATTTATTAGTAAAAGAAAGAGGAAAAAAAAAAAAAAAAAAACTCGTAAAGATTGATATTTATAAACATCAAGCATTTGTTTCAAATTATGAAAATATTCAATCAAAAAACTTTAGTAGACATGCCATTAAGTATTAAAAGAAGAAAAGATGGACTTCATTGATTTTTTTTTATTTTTTTAATTTTTTGAAGAGTAAACATGGATGAGGAAGCTTCACCCGAAGAAGCTTCACCGAGTAAGCTATTGACTTATTTGTTAGGAGAGAGATTTAAGAGAGAGTGTGGACAGAAGAAGAGGTGAATGACAGAAGACACAATGGATGAGATAAGTCATGTAATGAATTCCGTGCATCCATTCGGAGTTGCCGAGATACGGTGGTGAAGCAGAGTCTGCTCATGGATTAGGGTTTGCGGCCTGAGAAGTGTGGGAAGAATTTTGAGAGGCATGGCGATGGCGATGGCAGAGGGGAGAGACGGAGGACCAGGCGGTTGGCGCTACGTTTTCGAAGCGTTGCGAAATGTCCGATACTTGCAGCTGCTTCTATTCCACCCGGAAATCACTCCGTCGCGAGACTGCCTCAATTACAGTGCCGTCGTTCGCCATGGATCATCGTTGCACTGTGCTTGGGATTCTCCCGATGGCACGCCCCATTCCCTCATGGTGCCCTTGCCTGCGTGCCTGCTCGATCTTTTGGCCCCCGTTCGGTTTTGGATTCGCCAGGACCTTGTTGAGGTCTGGCTCGGATTGCTGTCAGTCGATCCTGCCTTGCACATGCTCCAGCTGAGTCTCGAGGACGAGTGCTCTGGTCACAATGGGTGCCGTCAAGTTGTTGATGCGAAGCCCTTCACTGTGGACTTTGGTGAGTAGATTTCGTTTCTGACGCTTGTTTTAGTTGCTATGAGATTCTGCATGCTGGACTGGAAGTTGATATGCATTATGCTTGGATTTGGAATAAGAAGTGACTTATGATATTACGAGGTCAGGGTTCAGGGTTTAAGTGTCAATGTTAACTGTAAATAGAGGTTTTCAGTTATGTTTCATCGGACTGGAATTAGGCGATTGTTAACACCTTACATTTCGATTATCGTAGAGTTCCACATTCTGAAATCAAGTCTAGACCGATATTTTGGAAGCATTCATCATCATACAACATGATCTGAGCATTTTTTGGTAGGTATTTAGAAGTGGACGTTGAATTTTTTCGTACTTCAGTCTTCAGAGTTACATCTTTGATTTCTTTCTTGATCTACTTGACGCTTCTGTCTCGAGGCACAGTCTCCACTTTGAAGGCACTGCGTAGGTGATGGAGACGAACTTTGGGCGAATCCAATATTATACTGAATGAGCTAGCTTTCTAGCTTGTGCCCTACTTTGTGTAAGGTCTTAATGGTTGGAGGCTATTGAGTGGTTACTGACAGATGCCAAGGCCCTTGAATCAACCGAAGGAGCTCGATTTTTCTGCACAAAGTGCTCATGTAAGCTTACAGATACTCCATTCAGGTATTGTAGGGATTCAGACGATCAACTTATATTCTCTTGATGGGACGTTCAGCTTATCTCTTGACATAAGAGACTGGAGTGTAGTTGATGAATGCGTAATCAACGTTCATTCTACCCGATCGTGAGCTGTGTCTATTTCGCCTTTAAATAGGACACGAAGAAATAGTTTTGTGTCGGACTAGGGTTTTAATCGTGGCCGTGATCTATTTTACTCTCACAGACGCGTCTTAGAAGTTCCATCTATGGACTGGCGTGAGATATCAGAGCATTTCTATGGGAACTGTTGTTGCGCATCTTTTGGAGCTCAAGCTGAGGTTCTTGTTGCGAAGTTTCAGCAACTGCTCACTCCAGCGCAAGATATTTGTCTTGTGGCATCTACCACATGCATCGTGCACGAAGAGAATGTTTTCACATCTGAAGTCAAATGTGCCTTTTCAAAATCAGGTGCTTGTCAATTGTCAGAGAGCGACAAACATGGCAGTAATTCATGTCCGAATGGGTCTTCCAAGGTTACTTCCCGTGCAGACGATCCTTTTGCTAACAACGGCATTGAACAGAATTCAAAAAAATGCACAAATTCTCCGGAAAGTGGTGACAAGTTCGATCATAAAAATAATGGGGAGGAATCTATGTCAGTTATAGCCAGAGAGAGGAATCAAGCAGTTGGGATTACATGTGGAGGTACATCGGTTACTCCCTCGTCCAAGGAAACAGGCGTTATTGAAAATGATGGTACATGTGTTGTAGACGAAGTTCAAGATTCTCATATTGATAACAGTCGAGGCGGAAAGGAAGATTCGTGTTGTTCTTCAAGCTGCTCTTCTAAAAACCATGTCCCCACAGAATTCTCTGTCCCGAAGGAAGCAAAGGAGGCGAGCTCAGAGAGTCTTGGTAATGGCTTCATGACTGGCCCAGGGTCGCAAAGCGAAGTGATGGATTGGGAACCGTTCTTCTGCCGCAATTGCTCGTCACTATTAGGTTCCAGGCGTGGTGATAGCAGCAAGAAAAGTGTGCAATTTTTTAAATGCCAGATTTCTACGGATGAATTGGTTCTTAGTTCAAGGAATATATTTAGGTGAGCGGATCTTCTTGTGCATTCTCACAACTATTGTTGGTCATTTGCTTGCACTTTATTATGAATTTCATTCTCTTCAAATCTAACTGAGTACTCGTGTTGTTCACAGTGATCACACTTTTGAAAGATTATTCATACATGAATTAGAGAAGAATACAGAGAGCAATGCCTCATATCGGTACGTTGTGCGAAGTTTTCAAACAGGAGCGGCGACTTTACAGCTTATCCTCCTTAACCAAAATGCGTTAGTCACGTCGGGCATGTGCCCCCCGATACATACTTTGAACGATGAAGATTCAGCTAATGAGAAAAGAAACCAACGAACTTCGGGCTGGAGACCAGTAAAAGTACCCCTAAAGACTGTCGCCAAATTCATGTTCTGCGATTGCAGGATGCTAGACTTGGAGGAGTTGAGGTGCGGATTTTTCTGTATAACGAACACGCCTCTGTTGAACCTAACGTTTGGGTCTGTCATAGAATAGTTAACAGTTACAAATCTCCTCCAAGTGAATACATAAGGTGTACCAGATGAAGAATACTTCAATTTAGTGCTAACTGAGATATAAGAAACGTTGAGCATTCATTGACGCTCGTTGTTGGGCTTTTGCAGACTAATTGACAAGTGGGCACAACTTCAAAAAGCTGATGACATATTCATGCTGGATGCAGTAGCTGGGACATTGTTAGACATATTGAAAAGCCACCAATCGGTCTATCCTCCATCTTGCCAATCATTTCAGCAATTCAGTTTGTCTTTTCTCTCAAAATGATTCACGTACAAGTTGAAATTGATCCTATTCTATAGTTTGACATGCATGCTCTTCAAGGTATAGAGGATGTTGGGTCCATGTACGGGCATTTCTTCCGGCAGAAGCAAGTTCTGGCCCAGCTTCTCTTTAGACAAGCTCTGAAGTCCATTAGCGTTGAACATGTGGAGTTTAGCTGAAAGAATGAAGAAAAAAATGGAGACATCCTTGAGCCAAGCTCATCAAAAGCATTTGCTTGAAGGCAGTGCATCGTTGTGATGAGAGTGAAATTGTCAAGAGGTGATGGTGATTAAACAGCGGCGTGTGTGGAAGGGCATTTTTATTAACTTGGGTCCCCTATATTCTAAGGGATCCAAGTACTCCAGAACTTTTTTGCAAAAGTAGAGAGTGACTTTTAGCCTTTCTACATGCAGTTTTGCTAATCAGTACTAGTTCCTCTCGCCACTAATTTCCTTGCACTTGCAAGCGCCACTCTTGAGTATGTTGAGTTCTTTACATAATGTAGTGTTGCTGAATTATGTGTTTTCGGGGAGAGGAGTGTTTAAGTGAATGGTTTTAAGTAGGTGGATGGTAGATGATTTTTCAAATGGAACTCGTTTGCAGAAATGTAAGTGCTATTATTAATATGGTATGACAAGTGCAACCCTTGACACAACTTGAAACACAGGTGAAAGTATAAGTTTCCAAATGATAACTAATGAGTGAAGGATTTGTTCACCTTTTTTCAATTTTTTATTATTTGTTACATCATCTTAGTCAGTTGTACTTGTGTCTTCATTTGGATGAATCTTTTAGAAAGAGATACAAGTGAATATATTTAAAAAAATCATGCCTTAATTTAGATGGATATAGATATACATTTATATTTGTATTTATATTATTTCTTTTTAACATATCAATTAATTGTGATGTTTACTTACATGTGTGATCACAAATATTTATTATTATACCAATACACGAGACAGAATTAAATACATATATATAATTATTTTATAAACAAGTGATTCTTCTACTTCAAATCTTGTAAATTATTATACTGTTAAATATTAATTATATTTTTATTTTTATTTTTTATTTTTATACTAATAGATTTTTATTCAATTTAATTTTTTTCTTATATTTTCAACAATACTTGAAAAGATTAATATTCAAAAAATACCATAAATATCTAAATCATAAATTCTAATTTTGAAGATCTTAACCCACTTAAATTTTAGTAATATTTAATTAAATAATTTGATTAATCTCAAATTTACAATATATGTGTAATATAACTATTCAAAATTCTATAGATTTTCACTTATACATCCACTACAGAACTGAAAATCTAAATCTTTTATTTTATTTAACAAAAAATAGAGTCACCTAAAACAATCTTGACTTTTAAAATCTCTTATAAAGTCATTATTTACTCAAATCACTCAAATCACTCAAATTTAATGCTCAAAGAAACCTTATCAAATTTGCTCCTTAATTTTGTACTTCAATCAAAAAAAGAACTTTATATTTGTTGTAGGTGCCTATTATAATGCATATTCTTCCCGCATTGCTTGTGTTTGGGTTATTAATATAGTCAAGAGTTGCAACTAGAATAAAGAAACATGTCTTAGGTCAAAGAATATTTCCTAACAATTAGATCCTAAATCCTTATAATTTATGTTTATATAGTAAAAAAAGCATCACACTTAAGAGAGATACTTTGGATAAAGCTCCAAAGCTTCAATACCTTAGGATGGTTATTAAGATCTTAGAAATTATAAGGAATAATTTTTAATTTTATAAGAAAAGAATAGAAAGGTTGAAAGACTTAAAAAATGACTTTTAAATGGACTAAAGTTTCTTGAACTTATTATCTTCTATGGTTGTTTGAATCAATTTAGAACTGAGGCTAAGTGAAAGAACTAACTTCTATTTCTAACTTTTTGTGTAGGTTGGTAGTCTCAAAGCTTAAAAGGTTGTTCAAATTTATCAATTCCAAAGCATGACTTAATAAGATTAAAATATAAAAAAATCTTACTCCCTTGTATTTCAAGTAAGTTGGCTCTTTAATTAGACTTATTATTAGAATAAAGAAGGAGAGTATTTGCCATTGTTTGATAAAATTTGGCAACGTCCCTTCCATCCTTCTTCTACAATCTTTCTCTTGATTATCAAAGACTCTCTTCTTTGTCACATATATTTCTTTGAGTTTACCATAGCTAGCAACCAAAAGCAAGAGAAGCCAAATTATTCTTTGTATGCTACAAATCAAGAGACAAGAATCAAGTGCACTCAACTTAATTGATTCTTCGAAGCAATAGGAAATGAATTCAAGGTCTTTAAAATGTAAAGGGAGGTTAGAATTGACCTTAGTATTATTTGAAGTTGTATTAGTCCTAATGTCTAATATATCTCTTAGGTCCTTCTTACACTTCTTAGCTTTTTGTTAGAATCTTACTTCAATGTGATGAAATAGATTGATAGATAAGCAAACTTTTAAAGTATTTTCTTTGTCTCTAATTAAAGATAATCTCATTATAATAATATTTTGATTGATTATACATCTAACTATGCAAAAGATCATGACCTTGCTTATAAGAAGGCACTTGAGTATCAAGATTGTAGCTTTTCTTGTCAAAATAAGTATATTTCTTATAATTAAGAAGGGATTAGCATGAAGGCAAAGAAGAAACAACAACTTATTCAAGAAGGTTTTTATAATAAGGAATTGATGCCTTGTACTTTGCTTGGATCTTGTTAGCAAAGAAAAAAAGAACAAGTTTGGATATTATATATTACTTTAGATTAGTATAGAAGATATGCCACAATGAGAGAATTAAAGGTATCTATTGACATTGAAGTTATTGGATTCAATGGATGAATCTCATATAGACCATGGTTAGAGATTGTTGAAGTCATATTAGGCAAAGGACATACATGTTATAGGAATCTTTAGTGATATCATCTTATTCAAAAAGAATTATCTTTAAAGTCTTGAATTGAGTTGATAATTTTGGTATGTGAATTATTGTGTAGTTGAATTATGATAAAAAAGTCAAAGAATCTTTTGTTCTTGAGGCTTCTTTTATATGTATTAAAAAATTGGATCTAGTTGGACAATCTTAATTTGTGCCAAGAACATATATTCTTTATAATTGATTTATTCTTCTAATAAGTTGTAAGTTGTTACTTGTAGCAATGACTTTAGAATTGCTATACCTTTCATAACTTATAATTCTTTGATTTTTTTTTTGCCTTTCTTTTGTATTAATATAAAATTATTCACGTTTTATATCTTATAATTGAATATATGTGTGACTTATATTCTCTTCTTAGATTACAGGACAAAATTACTTCTACTATATGTAATATCCATAAATCTACCTTGGCTTATATTGGAATAAAGGTGAGATTCAAGATAGAAGGTGTTATCTCATCTATTATTGCTTTTTGAATTTATACTAGTTTTATTAATATTTTTTATGGATTTTTGTTGAGATATTCAAGGCTTGGATATTCTTTAATCTTATGTCTTATATCTAATTTTTTCCTATGTCTAAAAGATAGATTATTATTATTATTATAGATTATAATAATAGATTTTTTATTTTATAAAAATATTTTCTATTTGAACTTTAAGCTATCAATTTCTTTGAAACCTTAATTCAATATAAAATTTATGTTCTTTAATTTGGTGGTTATTAATACATTCTTTAAGAATCTTGGCAAAAAAAGCCTATAGAACTATGTGATATGGACATAATTGATACTATTAATTATTTAAATAAGAGGAATTAGGTGGAAGTAAGTAAAAATACATATATTTAATAATATCTTTTGAAAAAGCTTCTTAGAAGATTTATAGATGTAGATTTGACATTATAAATAATTATAAGTAATTGGTAGGTTAACAACTTGGCCAATAAATTGGCCTTTTGTGGTAAACGTTGGCTATGTAGCATACATATAAGAAACTTGTATTGTAAATTAGACATGTGTCTTACATATTGGACACATGTCATAGGTCTTATAGAAAGTTATTACATAGCTTTTAATTAAATAGTATATATAAAGACAAGAGTAAAATCTTTCTCTCTCTTGTCAATTCTTTTCTTATTTCTAATCTAGTTTAAAGAGTCTTCTTATTATTGGCAATTACCATTCTACTTTTTTTCTTGAATATATGTACTTTTCTATTTTTTTTTTGTAATATTTCTTTGAAGTAAATCTACTATGTGTATTTTCATTCTTCAAGTTCTTATCTTTGACAATATATCAGGACCATATAAAATGTCTTTGAAAGTTATCCATGTAGTTTACTTTGATAGTACTAAAACCATTAAGTAAACAAAAATTTTAAATTACCTCAGGATCAAAATTAAGATTCTATCTTTGAAAAGTACACAAGTCTATAGAAGTTATTTTAAAATAAAAAATAAGATATATCTAATAATATATAAAAATCAAGATTATAAATAAAAGTAATCTTTTTTAAGACTTTTTTCTAATTGAATTTGTTCTTCTAAGTTTTCTATTAGTTTGTTCAACCATGAAACAAATGACTTGAGAGAGGATTTGTATTCTACAAAGTTACTAATAATTACATACTTAGCAAGATATTTATTTTTGCAGTTATAGCCTCTATGTCTATTTTAATCAATTGAAGAATGGTTTTACCAAAAAACCTTGAATAACTTCTTTCAAAACAATAAAATAAAATCTTATTTTTATACTATTAAGTAGAATGTAAATTATTGGTTTGTTTATATTCTCCTAACAAACAAATCAATGATTTACATTCTACTTAATAAAGATAGAGCTTCTTCTTCATATATTTAGAAAGGCTCTTCTATTCTTTCTGCCATACTTGAGTCATTATTTCCCTTTCTATATTTAATTTATATAAAAATCTATTAGTTCTTAATTAAACCTTAATCCTAATAATTGACATGGATATACATAGGTATTCTAATACATACTTGTATGATTAGATAGAAGTAGGTAAAAATAAATAAAAATAGGTTAATTTCATAAGACCTTATAGAAAAGCTTTTTAGAAGCTTCAAAGATGCTACTTGATTTTACATATGTTTGTAATTGATTTGTAGGTTAGAAACTTGGCCAACAAGTTAATAACCTATTGATAGCTTGTGGAACAAGTTAACTATGTGGCTTAGACATAAAAAACTTGCCTTGCAAATTAAGTTACTAGGTCCTAGAAAGCTTCTTGAGAAGTTTTCATGAGGCTTGGGAACAAAGTAAGCCTAAGATCCTTCTTTGGCAACTTCCTAAATCATCTAAAGTCTCTTAGAACCTTCTAAGATCTCCCATGATCTTCTAGAATTTTCTTAAAATCTATTGGAATCTTCTTAAAACCTTCTAGAACTTCCTAGAACCTTTTCAATTCTTCTTTGGTTGTATGTGTGTGACATCACATCCACTTCTAGCTTCAAGGTCTTTGAAAAGTAATATTACTGCAAGTGAGTATATGTGCAAGAAGTTGAAGATTTGTCACATAGTATCTGCTATATATTCTAATTATTTTTTGTGAGGCAAATGTTTCATAGGCCCATGTAGCCATCGATAGTACTTCAAGCCTTCTACTTCTCATTAAGCATGAACTTTGATATCTTTGTTATAGAATTATCTTGCAAACACTCCTTCTAGACGTCCTTCATAGGCAAG